AGGACATCCCACCAGAGCATCAATCCCACTCCCTCCACTACCAGGCTCCTGCGCTGGAGCCAGCCCCGATGAGACTCGGTGTCCCTGGAAGTGTTCCCTTTGATAACAGCCAGGAGAATATTTTTAGCCTCCCCCCAAATCCCCAGCAGCATTTGTGAGAAGGGTGGAGGTGGTGGGGTGCCTTGTCCCCCTTCTCCCGCCTGGAATAAAGGCGGTTTCCAGCTGGTCCTGTGGCTTTTGCCAACTCCTCTTAGCAAAGGAATGGCTTTGAAGGAGAGCCAGGGCTGGCGGGGAGTGGGGGGCCCCAGGTGCTGGGGCTGCTGGGATTCCTAGGGGCAGCAGGATGGGTGTCCTGGGGCTGGGAATCTTGGGACACACCATGGAGCATCCTGGTCCCTGCCAGCACATGCTGGTCACTGCCATGGATCTTCCTCCCAGCTGGGAAAGGGGAGGCAGCTCCAGCAGGAGGGAGCAGCATGAATTTTGTTTGGCTGCTTGGAGAGGCTGAAGTTAAGGAGGACATGGATGGTGGGGGAGATATCCCTCAGGAATGACAGGAGGGTCTCTGCAGGGTTGGTTTAGTAAAGGTCTAGTGAGCATGGGAGAGAGCTGGGAGTCGTGGGGATGACAGGGCTGAGCCCCCTCATCCCACTGGAGGCTGCACAGAAGGGTCCAAACTGCTGCTAAGCCTTTGGCTTCCCCATGTCCCAGCACGAGGGGAAGGGGGAAATCCAATCAAACCAGCCCCATGCTGCCCTTGGAACCCCAGTGGGGAGATACTGTCAGGTGAAGGAGATAAATAGCAGTGGCTTTGAGGAGGTCTGGGAGTGGGAGAGACTCTCTGTGACCAAACTGAGCTGTGGTCTTCCTTGTCACCACCCCACGTCCTGACTGGTGGCTTGGCGAGCAGGAGGGAGGGAGAGGTCCTGGTCTTGCTCCTGTGGTTTCTGGGTGGGAAGGGGTGAGAGTGACCCACCAGGAGCCTGAGGTAGGGCATAGCCTCATCATCCATCTGGGAGCAGGTCCCAAATCAGGGGGACAGGAGTGAATGGGTGAGGGCTGGAGGGTGGTGCTTGCCATTGAGGAAACATCTTGGTGTTGGCTAGGGCTGTCTCAGTTTCCCTCCTGGGATTAAAGAGGGGTCTCTTCACCCAGGGAGCTTGTGTGACTTTGGGGTCCTGGAGGCTGCTGCTGAGGTACAACCTGAGGTCTCTGGAGTGGGCTGGAAGGTTGGATCCAGCCCTATGGTTGGGACTGGATGCTGTGTGCATGTCTGATGGGATTGTGCACCTCTGGGCTGGATCAGGGTGACATGGCAGAGGCTGTTGGTGCAGTCAGTAGCACAGCTAGCAGATGAGCTCCCAACTTACCCTGTCACCATGGCACATGCTGCCCTTTACATCTAGGGCAGTGCCACATTCCGCTCCCAGCCTGGCAACATGCCACCCTGGCCCTGCCACCCTCGGTGGCTCCTTCCCCGGGCGGCACGAGCCGGTGGTGGGGAGGGGAGGCAGAATAATGACCCCATTGAGCATCCTGCCTGGGGTCCCCAGGCTGTGAGCCCTGCTGGCTGCAAAGTAGGTGCAGATCTGTCCCTTCCTCTGTCCTGTGGGGAATCCCTCCTGCTCCTGTCCCTGCTGTGCTGATGTCCTCAGCTGCCCCCGATCGGGAGCAGGGGGGTGATGGGTGCTGTGGGAGGCTCCAGTCATCTCTGACCCCTGCTCCAGAGGGCTGTCCCCATGCAGCCAAGGGCTGTGTTCCCAGCAGCCAGCCCATTAGGGATGCCAGTGATGCCCACAGCTGGGGTAGAACCATGCAGTGATTCTGTCTGCATTTACCACCCCAATGCCTGTCTCTGCCTGCCCTGTGCCCCCTGACTGACTCATGGACCCCTTCCCAAAAGCCCTTGTGTCCTTGCCTGGATCATCCCTGCTCCACACCAGCCCTGTGTTCAGCCTCCTGCAGCTGTTAGCTAGCACCAGAGTGAGCTGCTCTGTCCTGGACCCTTGGAGCAGTTTCTTGCTTAGTGATACGTCCAGAGCATCTCACCCTGCCTCAGTTTCCCCTTCCTGAAACTACACCAAGTTTGCAAGCCTGGAGCATCCAGGCTTCCAGCCCTGGCTTCCCCTCAAGGCAGGGGATGCCTTTTTTCAGACAGCCTGGTGTGCCTGGATTTGGTGCAGAGAGAGGCCAATGGGAGGCTTTGGTGCACCCCAACATTCTCCCTATTGTAGATGCATTGCAAGGCCCCTCTGGGTGAGGAGTTTGGCTCCCACCTCAGCCCCAGTTCCCTCCCAGCCTGCTCATCCTGGCCAAAGCTTGTCCACAGCATCCCATCCAGTGAGGAGGCCCTCGCAGAGCGGTGCTGGAGCCAGGCTGACCCTGCTGTCAGGAAATCAGCCTTGACATCAGCCTGAAAACCTTCGGCAGAGTTCGAGCAGAGAGAGAGTGTCTTTATTGTAATTCCTCCGCGGTTTCATCCCTCGCCCTTCTTGTTGTTCACGCCCTCTAAATATTTCCAGCCTGTTATCATGGCTCTGGTACCTGCAGCCAAGCCACCCTTAACCCTTTCCTGATGCTGAGGCTGCTGTGTGTTTGACTGTGATGCTCTGCTGGCAGCACCAGAGCCCCTTGGCCTTGGGTTGGGTTGGGGTTGGGTTTTTCATGGTGCTTGTGGGGGGCATATGGGGGCTGTCTGGGTAGGGAGGGGTGAGGGGATGAGGTTGGGGATGGGGAGGGCTCTAAACTAGTGCAGGATGTGGCTGATGGGGACCATGGGCAAGATGCTGCATGAGCTGGGGGGGATTGTGGAAAGCCACATCGCTGGTTGTGTGGTGGCTGTGGTTTAGCACACAACCAGCACAGGGGTTTGTGGGATTTAGGTCCCCATCAGCAGGAGGTGGGTCCTGTTTTTGGCTTTGTGTGGAGCTGGGCACCCTCACAGGTCTCTCCCACTGTGCCTTGTCCTAAGGCGTGGGAACATATGCTGGGGTGGTGGGGATGGGCTGATATATTCATGCTGTGTGATGCTTCATCCCTTCCTCGGTTGCAACAGCCGCTGCAAGAGACTGGGAGTCATTTTCCATGGTTGCTGGAAGCTGCTGGGATCCAAAGAGCCTCTCCCCCCCTGCTACTGTCTTGCTCAAACCCTCCTCTCCAGGGGCAGCCAAAGCCCTGCCTGGCAGCAAAGCCACAGGGACCCCAGCCCTGGCAGGGTATTGGCTGGATGCTGTGGCTCCGGTGTCCCTGGGATGCCTCCAGCTTCTTTCCCAGCCCTGGGAGCTTGGATCCTGCCCCACACATCTGCATGGCAGAGCTGCAGCCTTTCTAAGGGCCAGCTGGGCTGGGGGAGCGGCGGGCGAGCTAATGAGCTCCATTTGTTTTCTCTCTTTGCTTTCGCAGAGCCTGGATGGGGACCAAGCTGTGCTCCAGAGGATCAGGAAATATGTGAAAGCCATTCATGCCTCTGGGCTCAGTGAGTTGGACTTTTGGACTTGGTGGATATCCCTGGACCATGGGGCTGGTGGGGACTGTGACAATGCCATCCTCCACCAATGCTGGTCGTGTCTGTCTGTGGAGTGATGCAGCTGGACAGAGGAGTGGCCATAGGAACTGGAGCTTGGGTGCTGCCAGCCAGCCTGGCAGCATGCTAAGGTGTCAAAACTGTCTTAAAACAATGTTAAAAGGGAAATTGAGAACTGTAGGAAGGTTCTTAGGAAGCCCAGCTCTGCCACAGAGGGATGGGGAGATGTGTGCTGGGTGCTGGTAGGACCTCGTGGTGTGACCATGATGTGTTGGGGTGCTGCAGGGCCACCCATGTCCCTCTCCTGTGTCTCCCCATACAGCCCATGTGGAGAACGAGGAGCAGTACAGTGAGGCCCTGGAGAACTTTGGCAACAACCACCTCTCCCAGAACAACCATGAGCTCTCCACTGGCTTCCTCAACCTGGCTGTCTTCACCCGCGAGGTCACCGCGCTCTTCAAGAACCTGGTGAGCATCCCAAATCCATCTGGATTTGGAACACCTCCCTTAGTGCAGCCTCCTTCCTCCCAGTTTAGCTTCCCTTCACCACAAACAGCAATCCTCACCTCCCATCCTGGGCTCAGGGACACATTCCCAGTGCTCCCAGTCCATCCGATCCCCCTGTTGCTGGATGTACAGCTCATTCCCAGCCCCTAGGATCCGATGGGCAGCTGGGGCTGCTATTTCAGTTTTTTTCCCTTTTCTTTCTTTCTGTTTTTTTTCTCACATCAATTGCATGTCTGATCTCTCTTGCCAAGACTAAATCAAAGCCACGCCGGGCTGTGTGCTGGGGCCGTGGGGAGCAGGCAGAGGCGGCTGTGAGCCGAGCCCAGCGCCTTCCCCACCTCGGGAACTGCTCTGCTGGAAAACTCAGTTCCTGAACGGAGCTGGGTCTGTGCATGCCCAGCAGCAAAGCCATGGGGAGTCCCATGTGGCTCCCTCTCCGTTCCCTTTCGAATCCTCTTCTCCAAGGAGTGTTTCTGGCCCCTGGTTCTGCTTAAGGAGGAGATTGATTTCTGCTGCCCTTCCCCCAGCAAGAATTTCAGATTTTGGCGTCTTCCCCTCCCAGTTACCCCAGTCTGGGCCTCCCTGCTCCTCCCCTTCCCCATCCCGGCTGTCCCAGCCTGGACCCCTGCACTCCGGTGAGGCTTAGCAGGAGGAGTCAGACTGGTTCTGGGGGAGGGCAGTGCTGACCCCCCCACCTCCTGCCCCACATGCTTCTGTGCCATGACCCTCAACCAGACCCAAAAAGCCAAGTTTCCCCTCCTGGAGTCTCCCTGGAGCTGTTGGAAGTGGAGTGCCCTGTTCCCCCTCATTTGGGGCTGGTCCTGTGCCCCAGGGCTGGGTTTCTCCCCAGGTGCTGCAGGGGATCAAAACCCTTTAAAACAAACCTGGGTGCAGCAGAGAGGTCCAGTGTGGGTGCTGGAGCTGCTCTCAGAGCTCTACAATGTGATGCTGCCCCAGGGGGTGCATGGAAGGACACCAAGACCAGGCTGAGGTGGCTGTCCCCACCACAGACCCTGCACAGCACTGGTGGGGATGGTGGTGGCTGTGTTGCTGTCCCCAAACCCCAGGAAAGGAGAACATTTTGAGAAGTCATTGGACACTGGGGGGGCTGTTTGCATCACGGGGCTGTGGAGGGGCTGGTGGTGTCGCTGGGTGCCAGGGACAGGGACAGGGATGGGGACGAGGTGTCGCTGGGGGGGAAAAGCTTTGTTTTTGGCAGCTGTGGTGCTGATGTGGTTTGTGGGAAGGGCCCTGCGTCAGACATCTTGCAGCCAGCTCCAACAAGCCCCAGCCTGCCCCATGCCTGGATCCTGGATCCAGCCCTGCTTCCAGCCTCTTTAACCCTTCCTGGGGCTGGAGCTGGGGAGAGGTCCCTGGCACTAGGCTCCATCTCCCCATGGGGTAACCTCATCTCTGCCTTTTGCAGGTGCAGAACCTGAATAACATCGTGTCCTTCCCCCTGGACAGCCTGCTGAAGGGGCAGCTGAAGGATGGGCGCCTGGTGAGTCCCATCCAGCTCTGTCCCCAGGGCCACCCATTTGGGGATGCACTGCAGTGAGACCCCCAGTACAGGCTCAGCTTGTGCCCATGGCCAGGAGAAGGAAGGAGCAAGTACTGGGGGCTGGAAGGGAGCAGTGAGGGTTGAGGGTGACAGGAGCAAGGTGTGAAGACCCACTGGGGACATCCCTTGTCCCCAAGGGGTGCAGTGAGATGCACAGCAAAGCTCTCAGCTGCTTTGGTGCCACAGCTCT